ATGCGCGGCATTTTGGGTGTCGTTCTAGCACCCGGTAGAGATTCCAGCAAGTGGATTTATCTATTGGAGGATTTATGGCATTGAGTTTTGAATTTGCTTTTTTTCAGGTTAAATGGTACATCTGCGGCCCAACAGTCTACGATAGCTCCCATATGGGTCATGCGAGGGCGTATTTGTCAATGGATATCCTTCGAAGAGTGATGACATCTTATTTTGGTTATGATGTTCAGTATGTTATGAATATTACCGACATTGATGACAAAATTATCAAAAGGTAATCCTCTAATCGTAACATCTTCAACTTGAGGTTTCTTCCTTTTGATTTTCAGAGCTCGACAACGTCATTTACTTACGAAGTATCTAGACACGTCAAAGGAACCATCCGTTGAGAAAATTATCAAGGATATTGTATCAGCTCTTGAATCCTTCAAAGTGAGTTTGGCATCTTGTGGTTTTGTCTCTCTATTTTTCATGAGTAGTTCTTTGACTTGACGAAATTAATTTGATTTGTATTTACACCATCATTGGTCATTATTCAAGGACGTTATTGCAGAAGAAGTTCGAAAGTGAAACTGATCCAGACAAGAAGAAGATGTACGAGACAATGGTACGTCTATTCTTTTTTCCATTCCACCTTATTCTTTTTTTCAAAATCGAAATTAGTTTCAAACTTCTTCTTTCAGATTTCTAAGGTTGATGCTTCTGCTCAGCTTCTTGAGAAAGCCCTGCGAAGCAATGATAAACCAAGCATTGAAAATGCCAAGGTGTTTCATTGTTCTATTTTGGTTTTTTTTTTTTGCTTACTTTTAAGAAGTACGAATGGTCATAAACTTCTAGGGAGCTCTTCTGAATGAAGCCAGAGATGTTCTATCGGATTGGCTAGACAGCCAGTTCGGAAGCGCTGTAAACGATCACTCCGTGTTTGACAATCTGGCGAAAACGTATTTTTTTACTATGTTAGCTATGGTTAAGAACAATGAGAGAAATCACTTCTTTAGATATGAAAGTGAGTTTCTATCCGATATGGCACGCCTCAATGTTTTGCCAGCGGACATTGTTACGAGAGTGTCTGAGTATATTCCCGAAATTGTTGCCTATGTTGAAAAGATTATTAAGAATGGATATGCATAT